AAATAAAAACCAAGACAGATTATGTAAAGGTGCAAATCTCCAATGATGAATACCATATTGTATACCTAAAATGTACCAATAAAATTAAATTTAAAAAAGAGACTGAATCAGTACAATTATAAATCTCCCAATAAACAAAAATATTCTTGCTTAAGGGCCGGGGATTTAGCTCAGTGGTGCCACCACCTGGCTTGCAAGTGCAAGGTCCTGAGTTCGACCCCGGTACTGGGGAAAAAACAAACAAAACAAAAACCAAATAAAAACATTCTTGCTTGCTTATCAGTGTCATCATTGTGTTAAAGACTGTTGAACAACAACGAAAACAAAATTAGCTAGTTTCAAAGATTTTTAAAAGTCTAAATATCTTTTATATTTTTGTACAGAAAATATTGTTTTGATGAGACAGGGGCTTTACTTTTACTCAGTAGCAAATGCATCATTTCTTAAATTAATGATCTTTTAAAGACAAATAAAATGCTAACTATATGTGAAATCAATGATTCTACTATTAAATGAAGTCATAACTCAAGCATAACACTGCATAGGCCTGATTTAATATAACAGCAACACAGGACAAACTGAGGAGAAAAGGGTAGATAAGATAATTGTCCATTATAAGCTGAATTTTTTTTCATTATTAGTTCTGGTTATATAAAAAGCATTTTTTCAAAAAGTGTACTTCTAAGTTTGAGATAAGTTTTTAAAAATTCAGTATGTAGAAAATAACTGAACTAACCGAAAAAAAATTTTCTTATCTTTAATTGAAGATTTAAGTCATTTTTAAGTATTAAAGAGGTAGAAACTATTTGGGAAAATTAATTCTTTATTCCTTAAACTAAGATATGAATAATTTTTACTGAAAATCTGATTCTTGTTATAATTACTTTCAAAAGAAATAAAAGTTCAATGTTTTCATTTTGTCTCATAGAAAAACTGTAATTTTATCAAGTTTGCTTATTTAACTAAGATTATACAATTACATAAGCCAAGAATAAAGGTTGAGATAACTAATACAATAAGTGTTCTTTTGTTAAAAATATTTTTTGTTCTAAAGAAAATATTTTTCTAAGAAAAATCTAACAAAACACAACAGTGAACTGAATTCCAAGAACATATAAATATTGAAAGTACCAAGGTAAAAAAATACATAAAATTCCATTAAACATTTATGTCAGATGATGGCATTAAGTACAATTTCATATTTTAAAAGTAAAAACCATAAGTAGTTACTATGATCTGGAATAAAGCACTCCACTTTCATTAGGGTCTTACCTCATCATCCCAACCCTCTCTGCTCCTTGGGAACTGGGGATTAAATTCAGGGTCTCAAACTGAGCCACATCTCCGGCTCCCCCGGCAAGAATGATCGATTGATTGTGTTATGAGAGATCCAACCCAGAGGAGCTACATCCCCAGCCTCTTTGTATTTTTTATTTTGAGACAGTATCTTGTTAAGTTGCCCAGGCTGGCCACTAACTTGCAATCCTCTTTCCTCAGCCTCCCAAGTAACTAGGATTACAAATGTAGGGCATCACACTTGGTTTAGTTATACTCTTTCCAATTGTTTTTACGCTGGCTAGAAAATTATTCTTAGCTACAAATATTTAAAATAATGCACTTCTAAGACAATACACTTGCAAATTGAATTGTTCACGAACAGAAGCATTCCTGAGCCAAGGTATTACTGTAATTTTTAATTTCTTCTCTAGGATTAAGGGTGGTACATAATTGGTTTTAACGGTATGCTAATATCTATTTGTCTTAGATGATACTACTCTAGCTGATTCACTTGACACTGTTATTTTTCTGTAAGCCAACATTCAGATTATCTTTGTGACATTAACGCTGGAGTACCTTCCCAGAGAACTTGGTTGCTGGGCTAGCTACACTGCATTCTGCCTTCCTGAATAAATCAAGGTGGTCAGATCATGGGGCTGAGGCAAAGGATTAGTTAGCCATGGCCAAAGTACATCAATAAAAATCAACTAACAACATCTCTATACTAGCAATGAAGTCTTTACACTATAACGATTCACAAACCTCAGCAGAA